TTTTTGTGCCTGGTCGTGGGGCCTGAACTCTGGGCCTGGGCACTGTCCCTCAGCTCTTCAGCTCAAGGCTAGCACTCTACCACTTGAGCTACAGCGCCACTTCCGGCTTTTTTCTTTTTGCTTATGTGGTGCTGAGGAATCAAACCCAGGGCCTCTGGCATGCAAGGCAAGTGCTCTACCACTAAGCCACCTTCCCAGCCCCGAGACTCTGATCTCTTTAACCAACAATAAATCAGAATTAGAGCCGGGCACAGTGGCTCACACCTGTAATCCTAGCTACTCAGGAGGCTGAGAACTGAGGATCACAGTTCAAAGCCAACCAGAGCAGAAAAGTCCGTGAGACTCATATCCCCAATTAACCACCAGAAAACTGGAAGTAGCACTGTGGCTCAAGTGATAGAGGGCCAGCCTTGAGTTTGCTAAGGGATAGTGCCCAGACTATGAGTTAAGCCCCAGTACTGGTACAAAGAGGGAAAAAAAGGGTGGGGGAAGAGATGGAAATGGGATACCACACCACACTAGAGTGGGGGTGAAGGGTGTGTCAGCCTGTGCAAAGGCCCATACAACTGGAAATTTCCATCTCATCCTGTCCACAGACAAATTCCCTAAGAACATGTTGAGTAACAAAAACTGAACCAGGACCGGATTCTTAAGAAGTCTTGTGGGCTGGGAAGGTGGCTCAGTGGTAGAGTGCTTAACTTGCAAGCATGAGGCCCTGGGTTCGATTCCTCAGCACCACATAAGCACAAAAATCCGGAATTGACACTGGCTCATGTGGTAGAGTGTTAGCCTTGAGCTTAAAAGCTGAGGGACAGCGCCCAGGCCCAGAGTTCAGGCCCCATGACCAACAACAACAACACAAAAAGAAGTCTTGTGAGCCCTGCCAATAACTTTAACCCTTTGGTTCAAGAAAGACACTTTACCTACAAAATACATTTCAAAAATATTTTCCTTTTTTTTTTGCGGGGGGGGGGGGGCCCGGTCGTGGGGCCTGAACTCTGGGCCTGGGTGCTGTCCCTCAGCTCTTCAGCTCAAGGCTAGCACTCCACCACTTGAGCCACAGTGCCACTTCCGGCTTTTTTCTTTTTTGCTTATGTGTTGCTGAGGAATCAAACCCAGGGCCTCATTCATGCAAGGCAAGTGCTCTACCACTAAGCCACCTTCCCAGCCTTCAAAAATATTTTCAAATGATCTATGAGTTACTCTAGTTACTATTGTAACTCATAGATTGAACCATTGTAGGTCAGAGATTCTACATGGTAAATAGATTAGAAAGAGGATCCCAAGTCACTTCTAATGTGGCAGGAGAGAGGGATGAGGGACTCCACTCAACCAACACTGACTGCAGCTGTGTCCTGACCTCATGGAAAGTTACTTCCTAAGAATAAGACCTTGGAAGGTAACATAACATGCCCCTGATAACTCAGGACCACCAAAAGGAACAAAGAAATCAGAGACCTGATGGTTCAATTTGAGATTATATATAGAGGAACTTCCCTTGCTCCTAATATTCTTTTTTTTTTTTCAGTCATGGGGCTTGAACTCAGGGCCCGGGCTGTCCCTGAGCTTCTTTTGCTCAAGGCTGGCACTCTACCACTTGAGCCAAAATTCCACTTCCCGCTTTTTCTGTTTATGTGGTACTGAGGAATTGAACCCAGGGCTTCATGCATGCTAGGCAAGCACTCTACCACTAAGCCACATTCCCAGCTCCTCCCAAAATTCTGTGACAGATCATATCCTTACTTTATTGTCTGCCTATATCCCTTGGAAATAATGCTAATGCAAGTCCATATTAGATGAAGTGTTGGTGTAGGATCTTGGAATTCCCATCAAATCCTATTAGATGACAGGGACTAGCTCTCCAATGTCAGTTTCACCCATTTTCCTTATCTCCAAGACTCTTACCACCAAAAGTGGAGCTGTGTCTCAAGTGGTAGAGCATCAGCCTTGAATGAAAAGGCTGAAAGACAGTTCTCAGGCCCTGAGGTCAAGCTCCAGTACCAGCACCCCCACAAAAAAATTGGGTGAGGACAGTAAAGCAATTTGTTGATATTGGAAGGGTATTAGGTGAGTTGTGGCAGAAAAAGGAAAAGACTGTGGGTGAGAGATTCAAGATGATGGCTTGCTAGCCAAGAGAAAGCATGAGTATACCTGGGGTTCAGGTCTGGTGTCATTCCCCCCTCACAATGGACAAACTGAGGTCTCAGAGGTGTTAGCAGTCTTGGGATATCTCACCTGGAAAGTGAGACATTTTCTGGCTTCTGGACTTGAATTTTCAGTATCTTCATCCATGATGCTGGTGGGAAGCAACCTTTTCTGGGGAACCTAGAACTCTGGATAGTTCTGGAATCTTCTGTGGGAGGTAGGGGACGAGATAAAATGGGAACACATTCATGGTTCATAAGAAAGACTGTCTGAGATAGCAGCAGGAGGCTGGGGTAAAGTCCCAGAAATGGCATTACTTTCATGAGGAATACCCTTCAGCAGGTGGTTTTAAGGCAGGCAACATCCACAAGATGATTCTGTTTCTAGCAGATTGATTCTAAGGAAAGAGGATAGAATATGTGGGTACAGCTGGCATAGAGATGCATTGATGGCCAGGTGTCAGTGGCTCACACCTGTAATCCTAGCTACTCAGGAGGCTGAGAACTGAGGGTCCCAGTTCAAAGCCAGCCCAGGCAGGCAAGTTTGTGAGACCCTTATCTCCAATAAACCACCAGAAAACTGGAAATAGCACTGTGGTTCAAGTGGTAGAGCGCTAGCCTTGATCTGCAGAGCTGAGGGACAGCGCCCGGGCTGAGTTCAAGCCCCAAGACCAACAAAAAGATAAATAAATAAAAGAGATGCATTGATGTCCTTTCTGACATCCAGATCTCTTTGATGGGGCCTCCAATTTCTCCCTTTCAAGGATGCCTCCTCCAAGCCTATAATTGGGTGGGGTAGGGGGTATCTAGAGGAAGTTTAGGATAACAGGGTGCATATTCTAGATGTATCCTGAAAGCTGGGAAAGGGGACCCAAACAATAAGGGATTACAGGTTATTATTTTAAATATGGTGGATCCAAGCCTTTGCCTGGCTCTGTCATTTACCAGTTATGTGACCTTCCGTAAATCAAGTTCCTCTTCTCTCAAATAGGGATAAGGAGGATGGAATTGAATTGGACCTCCTAAAAGATTAAATAAGCACTTATATGCCAAAGGGCTTAGAAACTTCCAAGAAAAAAAAGGTCTAATACATCACAATTCTCTCCCTCTTCCACCCCTAGCCCAGCCAGGTGAGATAAATTTATACTACCAATCTTCTTTCCCTCTTCCCTTCTCTCTTTTCTTCCCTCTATCCAGTCTTCTCCCTAAGTTAATTGCTTTGGAGAACATGAACTCACACAGATCCTTTTAGAAAAGCAGGTTTTATTGGTCGGGCTGCTCACCAGGACACAGCAACATAAGAGGCTCCCTAGAGCCCACAGGAAACTGCATCTTCCCACAGCTCAGGCCCCTTCTGCCCATCAGCACTTAGAGACTTGACACACAATCCCCCATCTCCTTCAGCTGACAAATCTCTAACCATTCAGAGGAGGAAGGGAACCAACAAAAGGAAAAGAAAAGAAAAGAAAAAAAGCAAAGCTTTGTGTTGTATAAAAGGTTTGTGTCCCCAGGCTCCTTCCCTCCCACCCCCTTAACACAATTAGCTATAATTCAAAAAGAAAAAGAAAAGCAGAGCAGGGAAGACAAGGAGTCCAGCAGTAGGCTGTAGCTGAAGCCCCAGAAATCCTTTGGGGCTGTGACTTGGGAGGGGAAGGAAGAGGCTTCTCCTTGGTCTGACAAGTCTTTAATGGAGAAAAGCAAGGGGACTAAAATGTCCTGAGGATAGCATGGTCAGTAGATGACAAAAATCAAGCCTCAGACTGCCCCAATGTTTTGGTAAATGCATTCTTAAAGACAAGGAACCCAGCAGGGTCTGGACAAGTCCTACATGTCAGAGAAAGATGTGCAATAGCTTCTGCAGGAACAGCTGTGCAGGCTGCTCTACTGCGCGTGCCCAGTGCAGACCTCCCCTCCAGCTGTCTGCTCACACACAGCCAGTCCATTAGCAACTCTTGCTCTTTCCCCCAGCCTGGCTCTTAACTCCTGGCTCTCCTGCAGCCTGCTGCTGCCCCCTTCTGGGACCCTAATTTCCTAGGCAAACCCCAATTGAGGGATCTTCGTTAAGAGTCACCTCTCCTTTCTCTTTGCCTCACCCCTCTTCCAAGCTGCCTTCCTATCGTCCTACTCCTGAAAATGGTCCTGATGTCCTGGGACTTCCAGATTTGGATTTTATCCAGTATTTCTTCATGCTACTAATAAGGACGCTTCTCTCTTCATCCTTCTTTTCCACTTGTTCCTATTATCCCATTCTTCTTCTCAAAGCCATAGCCACGTGCTCCTGTGTGCAGACAGTGTGCAGAAACGGAAGATGTGTAAAAGTGCCCCTCCCCTACACGTGTTCCCACCCTCTTCCTTCCCCAGGCTCTGTAGTTAACCCACACTAGTGCAAGGTCACTGGGCTTTTCTCCCCAGCCTCAAGTTCCCACAGACTTTCTCAAGTCTTCTAGTAGGAGTCTATGGGCAAAGAGGCTCTTTAAGGTTTACTCTTCTTGCAGTAATTTTGGCTTCAGAGACTCCTGGGGTGAGGATGAGAAGAGCTCAAGGAGCAGGAATGACATAGCCAGGTGGGTGTGATGGGGGGCAAAATGAGTGGCAGGCAGTTTCCACCCCCACCCCCAAGGGGCCCAACCATGGAATTAAGGAACCCCCCCCCCAAGGATCACTAATATGGAAAAGCATATCCCATCCAGGCTATGTCCAAATTGAGGCTGTCCAAGGTGGGGGCGGGGCCTGCCTCCCGCCCACTAACTGTGTGATTGGCAGGCACGCTCCTCTCGGTGGGGAGGGGGACAGGGTGGGAGGAATTGATATTTCAGAAAATTCTCCACCCAAAAGGGTCTGAGGAAAATGCAAAAGAGCAAGTTTGGAAAGGGGAGAGTAGGTGAGTAGGGGCTGGGGACAGAGAGCAGCAGCAGGCGGCAGGGCGAGGCGCGGAGCCCACCCCGTCCAAGGGCCAGAGCCCCTCGCTCGCGCCCCCCCCCGCGCATGCGCGCTCTCTTGGCGCGGTGGGGCTCAGTCGCTGTCACTCTTGTCCACCAGCACGGCATCCGACTCCTCGGTGATCTCCAGCAGCGTGTGCACGTCGGGGCTGCTCCCGCGCAGCAGGTCGGCAGCCTCCCCACGCGGGGCGCCCTCGTCGTCGTCATCGGGGCCCACCTCCACCATCTCGGTGGCCTTCAGCACCTCCACCTCGCCCTCGCGGATCTTCTTGACGTGGAAGGTGAAAGGCGGCACCTTGTAGACGGCCGTCTTGGAGCGCGCGTAGACCACGTGGTCGGGCGTGAAGGACTTGCGCAGCTTGTCACGTGACGTCTTGAGCTTCTCGCGGCGCTCGGCGGGGACCAGGCGCGTGCCCAGCTTGTTCATGCGCTTCTCCAGCGTGTGCCGCGTCTTCTCCAGGTTCTCCTTGGTCTTCAGGCGCGTCTTCTCCAGGTTCTCGCGGGTGCGCACCCTGGTCTTTTCCATCTTCTCCTTGGAGAAGGCCTTCTTGAAGTCATCCACGCGCCGCAGCCCGCTGCGCTTGATGCGCTCCGCGCGCGATTCCTCGATCACCTCTTCCACCTCCACCGCCTCGTCGGAGGAGAGTTCGAGCACCGCGGCGTCCTCCTCCGGGCGCTCGCCCTCGCCCAGCTCGTCGCCTTCCTTCTCCGGCAGCGCCTCGGACTCTTTGAGAGACTTGCCGACGCTCAGCTTAGCTGGCAGCTTCACGTCGTCCTAAGGAAAGAGCAGCGCAAGGTGAGAGTGGGCCCGAGCGAGGGGGGGGACAGGTAGGCGCTGGGAGGAGGAGGGGGAAGACCCCAGGTGGTCGATCCTGGAGGGGCCCCTGCATGGTTGAATTTGTCAGCCCCTGGTACCGTTGCCGCACACCTTGTGGGCACCCAGTACCTGTGATTTAAGTGGTCCCTGTGCAGGCAGCACGGGGTGGGATCGTGGCCGGCATTATAACTGTAGTTAGTTAAGTATCTCGGAGAGCCCCCAGCCCTTACAACTCTAAGACCACCCCACCCTACCCCCAGAGATGGCAGGGAAATGCTCGATTTGAATATGCAGCTTAACTTTAGACGTGGCAGAGCGCCCTCTGGTGTCCTAAATTACATAACGCCCCAGCCTGGCCAAAAAGCAAGAGCTTGGTTGGGACAATCCCCTCTAAGTTTGATTGGGAGGCAAGGGAATGAACTCACAGGCCACACGGAAGCTTGAAGGTAACGTCAAGGCACTGCATTTTCCACCCACTAGAGCCATTTCAGAAACAGGAAAGGACACTTGGGCTAAACTCACACAAAGAGACACACATACACATTCCCCGTGACGTTCTCATATTATTATGACCAGTGGTCATAATCCCTCTCCCCAAGCAGAAATTGGTAAAAGAAAGGAAAAGAGCCGGTGCTGGTGGCTCACGCCTGTAACTACTCAGGAGGCTGAGTTCTGAGAATCAAGGTTCAAAGCCTGCCTGGGCAAGAAAGTACATGAGACGCGTGTCTCCAATAAACCACTAGAAAACCGGAAGTGGTGTGTCTTATCCCAGGTTACCCATGGTCTTTTTTTTTTTTTTTTTGCCAGTTTTGGGTCTTGAACTCAGGGCCTGAGCACTGTCCCTGAGCTTCTTTTTGCTCAAGGCTAGCACTGTACCACTTGAGCCACAGCGCTACTTCTAGCTTTTTCTGTTTACGTGGTACTGAGGAATTAAACCCAGGGCTTCATGCATGCTAGGCAAGCACTCTACCACTAAACCACATTCTCAGCCCTACCCATGGTCTTTAGACACAGCACCACTGTGGTTTTCTATACTGAGGAAATTTTCCAAGATCCTGAAATGTTGCTCCTGAACAACATTTCACCATCCCAGGCTTCCCCTCTCTCTCTCTCTCTCTCTCTCTCTCTCACACACACACACACACACACACATACACAATATCACCACTATCAAAAGTAGAAGATGCTGAGTACAGAAAGGAGCCTGATCCAGAACATAAACAGGGGCTTCCAGTTAGTCTAGATACTCTTCAGTTACTTCAGACCAGCAGGTTTTCTGAAGACAGTTTTCCAGAATTGTAAGAAAATCCTATCTCCTGAGAAAATGTGGCAACATAAATTGACCTCTCTCTTACACAAGCTCTCACACACGCGCCCACACACACAAACCTATTCATAAGCTACTTGGAATCTCTTTGGATTCCACTGGAGCCACCTGCTACAGAATACAGAATTCCTTCCCTACCCCCCAGACCTCTTTCCTTTCCCTCACGTCAACATCCCCCCAGAATTTCCTGGTTTACACTGAAAACTAGGAACACCTCCTCCCAACTTCCTTCCCTCCCTGTCAATAACATTAGCAGGGACAAAGAGGGAAAGCTAGCTCCACCTCTTCTCCCAACTGGGCAACAGCTCTGTTGGGCATCAAGCCAGCTCTAGCTCTCTATTACCCTACTACACCTCCCAGCAAGCAAGGTGACCTGGGCACAGAGCATGCTGGGACTTGTAGTCTTCACCTGCCATAGGTGGCTTAGTGCTATTGTGGGCATTCTGGAGCTTAGTTCTGCTTCTGCCTCTTATTCACCAAGGCAATGAGTGAAAGAGAGGGTTTTTGTTATTGTTCTGAGTATAGGAAGGTCCCAGCCTCTCTCAACATTCCCTCTGATGTCATCTGTATCTTTTGGGTCTGTGTATGTGTGGTGTGTGTATGTATGTGTGCCTAGATCTCAGGGCCTTGTGCTCTCCACTTTTCTTTTCTTTCTTTCTTTCTTTTTTTTGTTGTTGTTGGTCATGGGGCTTGAACTCTGGGCCTGTGCACTATCCCTCAGCTCTTCAGCTCAAGGTGAGCACTCTACCACTTGAGCCACAGCACCACTCTGGTTTTCTGAGTGGTTTATTGGCGATAAAGAGTCTCATAGAGTTTCCTGCATGGGTTGGCTTTGAACTGCAATCCTCAGATCTCAGCCTCCTGAGTAGCTAGGATTACAGGCATGAGCCACCAATGCCTGGCTTGGCTTTTCTTTATTCAAGACTGATTCTCTACCACTTGAGTCACAGCACCACTTCCAACTTTTTAGTGGTTAATTGGAAGTCAGAGTCTAATCCAGTCTGGCTTCAAACCTCAGTCCTCAGGTCTCAGCTTCCTGAGTAGCTACGATTAAAGAGGCAGGCATGAGCCACCAGCATCTGGCTTTTTAGGTCTTTTGTAGTCATCTCCCTGCCTGCCACTGGTGACTTATATCAAGACTTAACATCATTAGGACTTAATTCATCATTTTAGGACTCCCTAGGACTAAACTCTTTTACACGAAGAAATTACCCCAGTGTGTGTGTGTGTGTGTCCTCCTGAAAAGTGAGGTAAAGTTCCCTAAGCTCAGACACTATGGATGGATTGGGGAGGGTGGGAGGGTTGAAGGGTGACTACAGGGAATAATAATAATCAGGAAACAGTCCCAGCTGCTAGAAAGCAAATTCACATTGCCCCACCCCCACCCCCAACTCCAAAAGGCTGAGCTGGTTGGTTTTCCTGGCCTCTGGCTTTCTAGATAAAGGCCTTTGCCAGCTAAGCAGGGAAAGCTGATTGAGAACTTTATGCTTCTCATGGCCATTCTGTCTTCCTGACACCCAAAGAAAGCTCTCAAATGACAGTATGAAGAGCAGTCTCAGTGTGAGGAGGATTATTCTTGGATTTGGGGACATCTACTCAGATCAGAAAGGTAGTTGGAGGGATAGAACCCCATTTACCATAGGCTTCTACCAAAGAAGCTATCTTTTTGGTGGAAGGTTGGGGACAGGGGAAGAAACAACTTGACATTAATGCCTAGGCAATGTCCTGTAGGTGTGCTCCAGAGAGAGAGAGTGCATCCTTAGCTTTTCCCCTCTGTTAATGGATTTGTTCCCCCCCCCCTTTCCAAGTCAGGTTTCCCCCATGACTCACAGCCTTGGAGTGTTGTCTTGGGCCCACCCAGTCTGCCAGTTGCTACAACAGCCAAGAATACACAGAAAGCACTTCCCCCAACCCTGGACACACAAGGCCAGGCACCTTTGTCCCACCCCCGCTTCCCTGGCAGAGTTCCTAGGCCAATGGAGGGGCCTTAGGGGGTGCAAAGAGAGAGCTCTGCTTGTTCTGTTTTCCGTTTGTATTAAACAAAACCACCACTCCCAACAGGCTTGTTTTCCAGAGTTACCTTTAATGACCAGGTCTGAACAAAACCATGCACAGTTTCCCCTGCCCCCTGCCAAGCACACACAGCTCCCCAAACCCAGAAGGTGTGAGTCCAGGATGGAATTAGAGGAGCCTCAGGAGGTCTCCCACACCTTCCACTCTACCTCCAGAATCTGCTATAGAAATGTAAGGTCTGGTTTCAGAAGATCTTTGTAAGATCATAATTTGATTGAATACCTACTACATACCTGGTCCATGGCCAGGCACTTCACATTTGTTAGGGAGAAGGGACACGTGCCAAATGGCTCTAAATAGGAGCCTTTCTTGATATAGTGCTAACCAGTTCTGTCTCCAGTCACTGCTGGGGAAGACACTGGAGAGGTAATTCAGAGACCCAGGTTAGAGTACTGGCTTAGCAAGAGCAAGGCCCTGAGTTCAATTTCCAGGAGAGAGAGAGAGGGAGAGAGGGAGAGAGAGAGAGAGAGAGGGAGAGAGAGAGAGAGAGAGGAGAGAGAGAGAGAAACCACTGCTTAGGAAATAAGAAGGAAATGTGCAGAATTGAGGAAAAATTAAAGGAGAATCCTGGAATCCACCCAGGACCCCTCCACTTTAGGCTGTCAAAATCAGGAGACAAGCCAGGCACTGGTGGCTCATGCCTGTCATCCTAGCTTCTGGGGAGGCTAAGCTCTGAGGATCAAGGTTTGAAACCAGCCCAGGCAGATGCTTCCAAAAGACTCATCTCCATTGGGCTAGGAAGGTAGCTCAGTGGTAGAGTGCTTGCCTTGCATGCATGAGGCCCTGGGTTCGATTCCTCAGCACCACATAAGCAAAAAAAGCCAGAAGTGGCACTGTGGCTCAAGTGGTAGAGTGCTAGCCTTGAGCTAAATAGCTGAGGGACAGCACCCAGGCCCAGAGTTCAGTCCCCACGACTGACAAAACAAAAGACTCGTCTTCAATTAACTGGCAAAAAGCTGGACACGGAGCTGTGGCTCAAGTGGTAGAGTGCTAGCCTTGAGCTAAAGAGCTGAGGGACAGCACCCAGGCCCAGAGTTCAGTCCCCACAACTGACAAAACAAAAGACTCGTCTTCAATTAACTGGCAAAAAGCTGGACACAGAGCTGTGGCTCAAGTGGTAGAGCACTAGCCTTGAGCAAAAAACCTAAGGGACAGTGTCCAGGTCGTGAGTTTAAACTCCAGCACACACAAAAAAAGAAAAAAAATATCCAAAAGTGCTCCTTACTGAGGGAAAACTGAAGCCAGAGCCAACTAAAATATTCTCCGTCTTTCTAGCCCCTCTCCCACTCTCTCCCTCCTTCCTTTCTCTCCCTCCACCCTTTTCTCTTTCTCTCTCTCCCTCCCCTCTCCCTTTCTCTGAGCTAGCCAGCAGCCTCTGAGAGCCCTGCCCAAGGCAGAATCTGGCAAACATAAGGGATTTCTTTGGGAAATGTTTTCCTCAGCTACAAGGAACGGGTGGAGAGGGCACAGAACAGTCCCCAGGCCTGGGCCTCGAGAGGCCCTCCTCCAACGAGGCTTGCAGCCAAACTGGCCTGTCCCTGAGGAGGCAGTTGCAGGG